GGATATGCTATAGATGGTATTCTTGTTCATCTATGGATTGGACTAAATAACTTCTCCCCCCCCCAAAAAAAAAACAGTTGCATCATTTTCACAGTAATCCCATGCTCTATATATCTAATTTCCTTTTGTAAAACGAAATAAGATTTGCTGGCATGATCTTTTCTTGATTAAGCCATCCTAATTTTCATTGTTTACCATTTTCCTTATTTAATATATAAAAATGATTCCTTTTTATAATATTTTCTAGAAATTTGCCAGAAATGAGCTTATAATTTGGCTCTTCTCTTTTCTATTTAGAAATACACTCTTCTCTTTTTTGCCAAGTGGGTTAACATTTGTTTGTCTTTACTCCTATAGCATTTTTCCATTCCTCTCCAGTTTTTCTAAGATTGTTAGTTGTTCAGCCATCATATTTATCAGTTCTTTCAGAACCCTAAGATATAGTTCATCCATCCCTGGTGACTTAAACTTGTTAATGGCAATCAAATGCTCTCTTACCAATTCCACACTTATTTTGAGCCTCAGCTCTTTTAAAACAACTTTGTTCTTTTCTACCTAGTCTGAACATTATCCTCTTTAGAAAAGAAAACAGAAGCAAAATAATAGTTGAATAGTTGTTTCATCTTTCCATCATCTATTTTCATCATCTCCTTCACCATAAGCACTAGTTCTACTCTTTCTTTTCTTTCCTCTTCCCCCATCATAGCTAAGAAATGCTGTTTCCGTTAACATTCAGCCGTAGCACAAGCTCCTTCAGAGACTTAATGTCCTTACAATATTTGTTGTAGTTCTTTGCCATTCTTTTGGCATCACTTCTCTCTTAATCTGCCTTTGTTTTCATCTTTTATATATGCCTTTTTAAAAATCTCAAATGGTCAGAGTTCCATAAGCATCTATAAGATTCTTTAGGCAGCTCTCTGTTTTCTTCCTCATTGGGATTATTTGTATTTGTTTTGTTAGAATTGCCTTATTTTGAGTTTCCTAGAGGCTGGTAGTACAGTGGATGAAGCCTAGAGTCAGAAAAACCAGAGTTCAAATCTGGCCTCAGATCCTTACTAGCTGTATGACCCTGGGCAAGTCACTTAGCTTCTGTTTGCCTCAATTTGTTCAACTGTAAAATTGGGATAATGATATCATCTATCTTCCAGGATTGTTGAGAGGATCAAATGAAATAATATTTGTTGAAAGCGCTTAGCACATAATAGCAGCTATATCAATGATAATTCCCTTCCTTCTACCATTCCTCTTGTGCTGTCTTCTCTTGAAAAGCTTTAGGTCATGGATGGCTAACTTTATGTTTTCTGAACTCTGAACTCTGTTATCCCCAGATTTAGAGTATGTGTCAAACTATGCCCAATTTTTCTTTCCAACTTCTAAGATGGATTAATTATATTCTCTCAAGGGTCTCATCATGTTTCTTTAAGTAATCAGTCCTCTTTGTTGGTCCAAATTAGGTTAGAATAGCAATTGCCCTCATTACTGCTTGCCGTTTTAACAAATGAATTTTTCAAAAAAGTCAAGCAATTATTCATTGTTTTGTCACTTGCAGAGAGTATTCCAACAGATGCTAGATAATAGAAGTACACCATTTCTACTATGTCCTGCCTCTCTAGCCCACTTTTACAATTTGTTTTCTACCGTTCATATCCCTAACACAGGAATAGCCTTTTCCTAGGAGGCTGCAGTATTCTTATTGGCCACCAGAGGGCACAATCTTGGGCTCCCCCTCTATTTCTAAGCTCTTTGACAAGGGGTGCTGAAACAGTTTTTCTCAAGTCCTGCCTTCTTCCCTCACTAACTGGGCCCCATTTCAATCCATGTGATGAAATGGAATTTTTCTCAAAATATTAGATCCTATTTCCTCCATATTAATTAGACCGTAACTCAGCAGAATAAATAACACTAGACTTTAGATTGGCAAATGAAAGATTCTGCCCAAGCCAAAAGAAATTCTTTGTTTGCTTAGCCATTAAGATTCAGTCTCTGACCTACCTTAATCTGGATGGAGAGGGAAGTGAAGCCAGAATAGAAGTGATGGACTAGGGGAAAGGGGGAAAGCAACAAAGATAATGGAAAGTGAAGAAAAGGTTTGCTAAGGTATCAGGACAAGAGATTATAGTCCAGCAAGAATTTGAGAGTCCAAGACCTTGAAAGTGGAGAGTTTTACATTATACTAAGACATAACCTCAGTGGCCAGATAATCAGAGTTGTTCTTTCTTCTACCCCTGAATCTCTTGAAGCTCCCCCCACCCCCACCCACCCACACACTTTTTTTTTCTGCCTATCCTGCCCTACTAATGTTCAACGTTGGGTTACCGTCATAATCTTTCTACTCTGTGACCATTCTCAAATTACAAGGGCATTTCTAGCCACAGCCCACCCCCTAAAAATTACCTTGTATTTACTTTGGATATATTTAGTTTATATTTACAGGTGTATATATTGTTTCTCCTCATAGAATATAAGTTCTTTGAAGGCAGGGTCTGTTTTATTTTTCAATTTGTATGCCAGGCAATTAACATCATAGCTTGATGACTGATTGATTTTACATTCCTACCCTGGCTTTTCACCTTTTACAGTATTTTTTCCATTGATTTTACCCATTCAAAGAATTCTAAATTTTTGCCATTTCTTCTTTAAGATTTTTATTGTTGACTTCCTGCTCCTAAATCCAGGGTGAGCCTTGACTGATACTTGGGATTCAAATTCCAATTCATTATTATTTCTTTTCCCTACAGGACACACCTTTGGATGTGTGGCAATCATATTAGCTCTGTTTACTCAGTATGGGATAATTATGGAGAGATGACTGAGTCATTGAAACTGACCTTTTGGAGGGATCAGTGGCTATTTCTTTGTTGGGGCTTTGGAGGAAATTTCAATGTGTTCCCTGGATTATACTATTTATATACAATACCTATTTAAGCCCTCCTACATCTGAAAGCTCCAGAAACCCCAGCAAGACTTGGAGTCAACAGAGTCCTATAAATCATAGTTAAGCTAATTCAGTAAGGCAATATTATAAAAAGTAACCAGATACTTTCATCCATATAACACTTAAATTAAACCATCAAATTTACAAGTTAAACTGCAAGATGGGTTCACTTCTTCATAGGCCTAGAATTCTATGACCATAACTATTTCTAATGTTAGTTTTGAGTTGAACATGAAAGATGCTGTCTGGAGATGGCAGCAGCCAGTTAATGGAAACAAAACAGCATTTTTCAAAGTGATCCAAAGAGATACAAACTTCTGTCATATCAAAATACATGTTAGTGGTGTTAAATGGATTGGTGTATGTGAACAAAGTAAAATAATCCTAGATATGGGGAAATATTTTGGGGCCTGCGTTGTAAATATGACCTATATAGTTTTATAAAGTTAGTTACTGAAAAATTCTGGTATTCATGAAGCCTTCATAATGCATGAAATTTTATTTAACCAGAATATTAAACTAACATCACAATTTCTTTATGTAAGACAAATATGAAAAATAAATGTCACATTTTAATCTTTCATAAGCAATGAGTTACATAGAAACAACTTTGGTTTTGGAAATATTCCATTCCTATTTATTTTAAAGTATTAGTGGTTGTCTTATAATAATGAATTGATTTTTGTGTATTAATAAATCCCAGTGAGATGATAAAGAATTAATGGACAGAGAATTCGTAGAGGTATGAAATGTCTTGTAACATTATGATTAGTTGAGCCTGTGTCAGTCCTAAATTTATGGCCTACAGCTGTTGTATGACAGAAGCATCAACCTTCACAGGAATCTATAGTGTGGTTAGATAGTTAAAGAAAATAGGAGGTATTCTGAAGAATAAAACAAAGTGCAGATATAAACCATGGGCTGTCGTTGCATTGCTTTTAAAGATTATTTCATGAAAGCATCAAATAAAACAGATTTCATCCATAATAAAAGATGAAGAATGAAGAACCTTCCTAGGTTGGCATTTAAGTGCATTTTTTTTAACAATTTATCATAAAACTGTTATTCTTTTTCATTCTTTTAAAAAACTGCTATTGCTTAGAAACTGGATAGAATAACTTGTTTTCAGAATTGAACTGCTGAACGAAAATCTTTTTATTTGCTTTTTAACAACTATAAAAGAACTATCAATGCCATAACATGCACAATTTTCTTTTCATCATTACTAATAATGATTGATCTAATTTTAAGAGTTTTCTCCCTCAGATATTAACAATTTTGATTTGAAATGGGCATAAGGCAAGTTATTTGCCAAAAGATTTTAAGGAGTTTCATAAGGTGATTATTCTAAGGTAATATTCAGTTTTTGTGAAAGAAAAATAAGTAGGGAACATTTTTCAAAATAATAATTAGCATTTTTATAGTGCTTTATGGGTTGCAAAGCACTTTATAATCATTATCTCATTTGATCCTCACAACAACCCAGGAAGGTAGGTGCTATTATTATCCCCATTTTATAGATGAGGAAACTGAGGCAGGCAAAGATTAAATAGGTCATACTGCTAGTAAGTGTCTGAGGCTAGATTCAAATTCAGGTCATCCTGACTCCAGATCCAGTACTCTATCCATGGTTATCACCTAGTAGCATTGAAAAGTCAAAACTTCTAAACTTTTGTATATTACTTTGAAGTTATATTTCATAAAATGTGGTCATCTATGGCTCTATAAATGGGAAAATAAGCTTTTTTTCCATTCAGTGGATTGAAAATTATTTTGAAGATTATGTAAGACTATCCTCCTCAGCATAATTCAAGGGTTACAAGTTGATTTTATAGGAATGCTATTTTTCTTTTTATTGGCACAGTTAAAGCTGTGTGTTGGAAGTGGCGCCTAAACAATTTCAAGTGTGGTAAGAGCTGTTTATGTCACTGAGTAAAATTAGATGTGTGTGTTGCCAATAGCAGAGGATGAAATGTAAGCCATGGCCAAATATGTGAGTGTGCTTTCTTCCAATGATAGTCAGGGCGGGGCCTAAAATACCTTCTACTCCAGTTTTGAAAGGGGTGGAAAAGTTTCAGACATTCTGTCTTTGGTTGAAATCAAGTTGGTTATACTTATTTCACGAGAGTGCTTTTTAACATATATAAGGTAAGTTATCAAATATCTTTTTCTTGAGTTTTGCCTTAAGTATTTACTATGGAGAAGTTTATAATGTACTATATAAAGACAAAATTCTAGTTCTTATTTTTTCTGAAATAAGGGTTGAGAACATTTAATTATGCTAATCATCTAGCAGTAATCCTCTGTAATAATTTCATTTCTATTATGAACTATTTTTATATCAGCAGGATGGTATCACAGATTTTGTAATCTATTATGAATACTTCTAGTATAAGCATGGAGTTCTAAAATATCCTAAGTAACAGATAATTTCATTTTGTAGAATATAACTACTATCATGCCTTTATTTTGTATTGCTATGTATTATTTCCATAACTTAATCCTTACTATTTCCATTCCTAATTCTATAATCATTGTTTATTCTGCTGAAGCATATTTTTCTCTCCCTCTTTCCATGGATAAGATGTTTATTTTAATATAGGAAATTATCAGGGTAAGACTGCCAGAGCTGTTCTACATGTTAACCGGCAGGAAGCTCCACAGAAAAAGAAAGTAAAACACTTCCTATCCATTCTCAGAGTGGAAAAGGAGAAATTTTCTCCCTAGTATCCTGAAAAAAAGAGTGCATACGGCTCAATCTATCAAGTCAAAAAACAAAATAACAGCCTGACATTGCCTTCTAGTAGTAAGGGAAGCAGGGCAAAATGTTGAAATTTTTAAAACTTCTGCCTAGAAAATATTGTTTCTTTCTCTACATTTTTTTAAAAATATGGAATGTGGTCATTGGAGGGCCCAAGTTTGTAAGAGAATTCGTAGACAACACTAACAAGAGAAAAGTATAACTCAGCTGGCTTGATAATTATTGCCAGCTGGTTGAAGTTGCTGACTAGTAAAACAAAACCTAAGAAAAATTGCTGTATTTCCTTCAAAATATTTAACTTAAGACATTTTGCTTAGTTTATTGAAATTATTTTGCAGAGAAATGAGCAAAAAAGAGACACAAAGAATTTTTTTAACTCATGGTAATTGTTTCAGTGTTAAATGTTGGTAAGGGATAGAAAAGCTTTGTGAGTTATTGGACTTGTTTGCTTTTTAAAGGCCAAATGAAAAGTAGCACTGAATACAAAATGTATTTAGATATTGAATCACCTACATTACTTTAAGATGTCATGGCAGCAAAGTCACCCTGTAACTAGAAGGCAAACATATGGCTAACAGCCTAGCAAGCAGGGACCTGAGAGTGTGGAAGATGTACCTGCAGAAGATGTACCTGCAGGCAGTTCCATCCCAGAGGTGAGGAATGAGAGCAGAGTATATTATGGAAGGTGCAGAAGTGGTAAATTGCAGACTCCCTCTAGGCATCTGCTCTTGATTGTTTTGGAACAGCAAGGTATGGTACTGTGAACAAGCTGACCATAAAACTGATAGGGAGTGTTTGGGACTGTCTCTGTTTCCTGCTTTTATCCTTTTATAACTGTTCTCTGCCTCCTTGTGGCGATGGTTGCAATTGGATCCTTTGGACATCCAAGGGGTGCCTCTGGGTTACCCAGGGGAGAATTGCATACAGAGTATCATCCAGCTATCATATACTGTTTCTCCAGGAATCCATATAGGATCTTGGGGAACCCTTATGCAGAATGTATACCAATGATGAAAGAATGCTTCAAGAAAGTGACTTGTAAACCTTAAAGGCCCATACCAAGGTGGGGAACCTGCAGCCTCACAGCCACATATGGCCCTCTAGATCCAAGTGCAGCCCTTTGACTGCATGAGGTCACAATTTCCCCACCCTGGTCCTACACAAATCTGTGCTATTGAAGTATTTCAGACTTAGTAGTCTGATGCATGTGTGACAAGGTCTGAACAAGGTGCTTTCCTTCTTCTAGGACAAGCAAAAGCAGCAGCAGTTGAGGGCCCTTTCTTTGTTACCCATCTTCCAGAGGAAGAGCTGCCCCCTCCAATTACCTCATAACAGGGGTTATTAACATATTTTCTGCAATGGTCCCCTGTGGCAGCCTGGTGAAGCCTATAGACCTCATTCTCAGAATAATGTTTTCAAATGCATAAAAATACATAAAATTACAAAGGCAGTCATTTAAATTAAAATATGGTTGTCAAACTATTTTTAAAAGCAAGTTCATGGGCCCCATGTTAAGAACCCCTGCAAGAAAATATTGTAGAACAATTGGGTGACCAGTTGCAGAAGATGAAGATAGTGACTATATGTGTGTAACTCCACAGCCATATCTGGTTCATTTGACCACATTTGCCCAACCTCCACCATCAGTGGCAATCATTATTTTCCTGCTAGTTGAGAGAGAGAGAGAGAGAGAGAGAGAGAGAGAGAGAGACAGAGAGACAGAGACAGAGACAGAGAGACAGAGAGACAGAGAGACAGAGAGAGAGAGAGAGAGAGAGAGACAGAGAGAGACAGAGAGAGAGAGAGAGCAGAGAAAGGACCTGTTGTTCCTGGGGTAGTGTGAATCAGCATTTGAAATGCAACCATTTCCATTTGCTTATGATCTAGAAAGAATGTCATTCATTATAGGGGACTTGGTAGAGGCTGTACTGGACTGGATTGGGAACTGCTGGTAAATTTATAGTATCCTGGGCATGTTCTGGGTATGTTCATTGATGCCACAATGCACATACCATGATGATGACCCATCCCTTGTTAATTGCACTAATGAGTTCTAACAGTTGTGGACAATCATATTAAAAGGAAGAAAATTCTAATCAAAATATTTAATTGAGATCTTAATGAGGAACTGAAGCACCAGATATCAAAATGCTACTTCCCAGTGAGCTTTAATTGAGTTAGGAGTGTAGCTGAGCATTTAGAAGATCAAAAGTGATTGAAGGAATAAGTCCTCAGCTCTATGGAAGATTCATAGAGAAGCCCGGATATAGAAATAGAGAGTTGAAATAAGAGGCTGAATCTGTGCACATGGGGACCTTCAGTACCCCCCAGATTCAGCACTTGTGACCCATGGTGGGCTATTTTTCAATAGACCTATCAGCCCATTTTTCTCCCAGTGTAGTCAGGGACTCTCCTGCCGGAAGAATATCTCTAAGGAACCATAAACAATTGAGACATTTCTATCTTGGATAGTTTTTTGTGCCCACTGCAGTGGGATCTCTGGGTTAAAGAGTTTGGAAAGTATAGTCATTTCTTAACATGATTTTAAATTGTTTTTCAAAATTACAGGACCAATTCACATTTCCACCAACAGTGCATAAATGTGTCTATCTTTTCATGTCATACCACATGAACTTGTCATTTTTGCAAATTTGCTGGTTATGAAGTAAAAATACAGAGATGTTTTAATTAGTAGTTCTCTTATTAGTGATTTGGAGCAGTCTTTAATATGACTTAATAATTTATAACTCTTAGTAACTGTTCACATGTTTCAACTATTTATCAATTTGGCAATTGCTTTTGATCTTATATGTGTCTATTAGTTCCATCTTCACTGTATGTGTCTTGTACATATGTATTTGTTTTATTCCCCATTTGGAGTATTTTTTTTAGGAAAAATGTTGTTTTTGCCTTTCTTTGTATCTCAAACACCCAGTACATATTAAACAGTTCATAAATGCTTGTTGATTGATTGATAGGTAGTTCTGTATATATCTTCAATATCAGATACTTAACAGAGATATTGAAAGCAAATGTTTTCCCAATCTAAAGTTTTCCTTTGCATCCTATTTGTGCTGATTTTGTTCATTCAAAAGTTTTTCAATTTCATGAAACCATCTATTATATATTCTGCACTATTAATAAATACTATCTATTTTGACTATGTCTGAGCCTTGTTTGTTTGAGAATTCTATCCTTATCCTTCTCCCACTAGCCAGAGCAGTGACAGGTACCTGAGATGCTTCTCTTCTGATTTTTTTAATGGTCTGATTTATTAATATTTAGTCCACATATCAATTTTGAATTTATTATGGTATTTGGTGTAATATGTTGGTCTAAAACTTAATTTCTGTCAAAGTATTTTCTAGTTTTCCCAGCACTTCTTTTCAAATAAAAAGTTCTTCCCCAAGTAATTTGTGTTAATCATTCAGTTGTTTCTGATTCTTCCTTGTTTAATCTGTCTGTCCCTTTGATTTCCTTTTCTATTTTAACTAATACCAAATAGTTCAGGTGTTTGCTACCACTTTAAAGTATAACAATTTTATTATAGCACTGAAAGTTGCACTCTTCTTTCATTCCTATGATTTTTTTAATTGTCCTTAAGAGTCCAGCTCTTTTGATTTTTTAAATGCATTTTTTATTACTTTGTGTCTAACATTTTAAAATATTGCCTTGAGAGTTTGATTGGTACAGCACTAAATCTGCAAATTAATTTGGATAGTATCATCATTTTAATTTTATTGGAGTAGTCCAACCGTGAACACTGAATATCTCTCTAGTTATTTTTTCCATTAATTTTTTTTCATTTCTTTAAGGAACATTTTGTGACTTTATCCATATATGTCATGGTAGATTGTGTATACCTTGGTATACACATACTTTTGAAATGGGCACTTCAAGTACCAAGTGATGTCATTTGAGTTTGATTCAGAAAACACTTGTTAAGTATCCACTGTGTGAGGAAAGAAATAATTTCTGCTCTTAAAGAATATACGTTCTTTGGTGAACACAATGTGTATACATATTCCCTGATACATTGTTCTGAAAGTCAAAGGACCTGGGTTCACATCTGCCCTCTGATACTACCTGTGTGACCTTGGGCAACTTATTTAACCACTCTTTGTCTCAGTTTCCAAACCATAAAAATATGTGGATTAGGTGGCATCTGGAGTATCTTCTAGCTCTAAATCCATGATTCCTATGGCAGATTTAGGAAGGAGAGAGCACTAACAACTTAGGGGAGAAGGAATGATTTCATAGAGGAAGAAATATCTCTACTCAAACTTGAAAGAACCTAGAAGTTCTGAGGAGGCAGGCAAGGGAGCAGAGGAGTGAATTGTAGACATAATTGACAATCTGAATGAAACCATAGACTCAGGGACTCTAG